TCAATAAGCTGTATCCTGTTACTAATGAATAAAGCTGCCCAATAAGTGACCGAGGAAAACTCTTTAAATAAAGTAATGAGAAAAAGAAGGTGGGTCCATCGTGCAGAAAGAGTTAGGGATAACAGGCATGTATCTGTGTGCCCTATCGGTACCTGTAGAATGTTTAAAGGCTTAGACAATGGATCAGAGGAAGGAGGTAACAAGCATTTGTGAAGTGCTTACTTTGTGCTGGGCACTGTGCTAAGTGCTTTACAAACAACAGTAAATGATAGAAATAGGTTATGAATATGAAGAGAAACACAGAATGAGAAGATGGAAGCAAGTGGTGATCTACACAATTTGGATAATCCACAAGGATGAGATCTTTTGAAATATCAGTGTCTTCCTAGGGCCCAGCACAATGTCTTGTACTTAGTAGTTGTTAAATTGCACTGGCCATTCATTAAGCATTGTCTGTAGAAGAATGATCTGTATCTACTATCTGCGGAAGAACCACTGTCTGTAGAAGACTATCCTAAACTCTAAGTTAGAGATACTAAGTCAAAAAATACATAACACATATCTTCATGGAATTTATAGTCTTCTAGGGATTATAGTGATGATACATATGCATATAATTAAAATACAAACATGTAACATGATAGAACAAAAATAGTAACTGATGTTTTATAGTAGTTTTTGATTTACAAAATGCTTTATATACACACTATCTCTTCTAATACAAAAACACCATAAAATGGGTATAAAAGGTATTATCGTTCCTTGTCATAATATTATGCTCTTAAATATTATACACATTACAATATGCATAAAATAATTTGCATACATAATATACATTTATGATATATTTTAAGATTGACAGGCATTTCACATATGTTACCTCATTTAATCCTCAGAACATGTATAAGGTACATACTATTGTTGTTCCCATTTTATGAAAAAGGAAACAGGCTCAGAAAGATCAATTGATAAGTATCAGAGGAAAGATCTGAATCCCTAGTTCTTCTTTATTTTAAGTCCAATGTGTTTTTTTCCCGCTATTCCACATTATCTCTTATAATTGAAACAAAGAAGGCTGAATTAAATAACTTGCCTAAGACCAAACCAATATCTCTGTGGTAAAATTACTATTTGATCCCAGCTCTGCTGACTTCCGATGAAGTCTTCTTTCCACTACACTATAACCGTATGTTTACCCTTTACAATTTGTATTATGTAGTCAGATGTAATTTACCATTCCTGATGCTAGTAGACAGAAGAATTAGCACACTGACATCAAAGAAGCCTTAAATATATGCCGCTCTTTTGTGGGACACAAAAATAACTGAGGACATGTAGGTCAGTGTGATTATTCTTAAGACTGGGGTCCCCAGACAATAGATCAGAATCTTCCGGTAAGTCTTAAGCCTGTCTGTATCCCCAGGTTGAATTACTGTCACAACAGACTCTTCTCATATGTTCTATGTACTGCTTTCTACTGTTTTGCCAAGTAAGAAACAAGAGCATAGAGGACACTAATTGTCCTTCTCTTATCTCTAGTGATTTCACAACTTACAGAAAATTTATAGAAGCGTGTCTTCACTTTAAAAAAATTGACCAGGATTATATTTAGCCTAAGAGTTTTAGAGATTTATACATTTATCATGAGAGTAGCACCTCCTCTGGTGTGTCTGTCTGTCCCAACAACCGCTCACACTAAACGGTTGGATTCCCCAGAGGTCAGCTGACTTATGACTGTCCTCAAGATGCTAATGATTATCCTGAGGGTCTGAGGTTTCTAATACTATAGCTCCTGAGCCCCTATGTAATCTATTTCCTATTATCAGTCAGTTCCTAGAATTCTATTATCTTTTAGGAAAGGGTTTTTTGACAGGGTATAGCGAACAGAGTAGCTATAAAATGGTTCCCCCGCCCCCACAAACTGGAGGTGGAGGCATACTCTTCCCTTATATCATCCACAAGTTACCTGAGGAAAGTGGGGTTCAAATATAAAATGGTTGTGAAACATTTGTGTAGAAAGCATGCATGTGAGCCCACGGAGTACCTCCTGCTTCCTTAACCTAGAAGTTGTGTTTTTTTTTTTGCTTTGTTTTTTTTCCCTTCGTGGAATCTTCATGAAGTCTTCCTTTGATGTATCTCTTTGCTAGGCTCCAAGGATCCTTACCTTTCCATAAGCTGACCCTTCTATTCATCTCAGGAGGTCATGATCCCTGAAGTCCCTGCTGTCTTCAGGCTTTCTATAGCCTTCTGCAGGTGCTTCTTCCATTGTTAGTCACTGCTAGTGCTTCTGATAGATTCTGATACCAGCTCCTGTTTCCTCTGTTACCTCAGATAATTCTTACGACCTTTCAGAATTCACAAGGTTCAAACCTGGTCAATTCTCTCTCCAGGAATTTATTCATCTAAGATGAGGGAAGGCAAACACAAAAGAAACTGGAGTGCCATGTGCTCATAGACACATGGTAGCTCATTGCAAGGAACAAAGCTTGCTCTACTCCCCCACCAAGCAATTTATAGAATTTCTTCCCTTATTGAATGTGTGATCAAGCAATTGTAGGGTGGGAAGAAGGATTACATCCCATTCTCCCACAGTAGCCATTCATGAGACCACCTCTGCCTTCACCTATTTTTACCCCTCCCAAATCCCCATTCCAACTCTATCCATTTGCTGGCCTCACAGTGACCGTGCAAGCTTCCAACTTCTCTTCCCCACTGGCTTTGAGCCTCTCAGGATTGTTATAATCTAACCATGACCTGGATCTTTGTTGCACTAGGAGGTATGCAGGTGCCAAAACTAGCCACCGCCCACCCTCCATATCATTTTGTGGCTATGTTATTTTCCCCATGCAGGATTGGCTTTATGTTCTAGGGAAGTGGGTGCTGAATAAGAATCCTCTTCCCCTTTACATTTGCAGAGGAACAGAGTGAATCACAGAGGATGAAAAAGCATGGAATGAATTGCAATCTGCATTGCAGATCTTATTATCTTTCCCTAACAAACTCACTTCTCTTTCAGACTACCCTATTTCTATCATGACACCATTATCTTCCCAGTCACTCAGGTTCAAAACCTTTGTGTCACCCTCTACATTTGTCACTTAAGACAAATATTCATTTACTTTGGCAAATCTTCTCATTTCTACCTAAACGTCTCTTGTATCTTTCCCCCTCGCTGTACTCATATAACCATCCGTGTTATTCATGCCTTCCTCACCTGTCTCTTGGACTCTTGCAGTAGGCCCCTAATTCATCCCCCTTCCTCAAGTGTCACCCCACCCTAATTATTATTCCACACCACAACTTAATCAGCCATTCCCTAATTAATGTACATCCCCTCAATTTCCAATTCTTTACCACCATAAAAAGAGCTGCTATATGTATTTTGGCACCAATAGGTCCTTTTCCCTTTTCCGTTTTCCCTATCTTTGGGATATAAACCCAGTAGTGGTATTGAAGGGTCAAAGGGTATGCACAGTTTTATAGCCCTTTGGGCATAGTTCTGAATTGTTCCACAGAATAGATGGACCAATTCACAATTCCAACAGTCCATTTTTGTCCCTATTTTTTCCACTTCACCTCCAACATTTTTTTCCTTTTCAGTCATGTTTGCTACTCTTATAAGTATGAGATTGGTTTAAATTGCATTTTTCTAATCACTAGCAACTTAGAATATTTTGTACTTGAAGGTCCTTTCACCTTTTTCTTGGACTCTTGAAATAGCACCCTAATTGGTCACCATTCCTCAAGTATCTCCCCACTCTAATCATTCCTCCACATCACAATTTGATCAGTCATTCCCCAAATGATGGGCATTCCCTTAAATTCCAGTTCTTTGCCACCACAAAGAGAGCTGCTGTACACATTTTTGGTTCACATAAGGTTGGACAAGTTAACAATTTCACTGCTAGTGCATTTAGTGTCCCTATTTTTCTACATTACCTCCAGCATTGATCATCTTCCTTTTCGGTCATGTGATCAGTTCCCTCTGTATTTAAGAAATGAGGTTTTTACCAAAGAAACTTGCTGGAAAATTTCTCTCCCAAGTGCCTGCTTTCCATGTTGTTGCACTACTCCAGTGGCTCCCTATTGACTGTAGGATTAAATATTATTTCATCATTTTCTCATCCTTTATTTAATATGTCTATTTTTCTATAATTTTATAATGTATACAACTATTAGTAGAGGAGTATATAGATGTAATTCATAAATAATTATGTTGGCATAGTAGATAGAGTGCTAGATTTGGAATCAGGAAGACCTGAATTCTAATTCTGCCTCAAGACATTTACTTGCTGTGTAACCTTGGACAGGTCACTGAACCTCTCTCAGCCTCAGTTTCCTTAAATAATAACCTTAAAGTGCTACATAAATGCTCACTTTTATTATTAATTCTTAAATAAGTAAACTTACTTATCTGAGGCATACATATTAAAAAAGTTATACTGTCAGGGATGTACAGTCAAAAAATTTAGAGACTACTATTCTAGAGGGCTGCTTTGAGCTTGTCTTTATTGTGTATAGGTCCAATACTATGAATGGTGCAGTGTGTGAGTCACAAGATGGTGGTAAAACAGCCTAATATTACTTGAGGTAAGAAGAGTGATATAACATGAGTTCTTTTGTGTTAGTATGTATTCCATAGAGTGTACTTCCTGATTTGAAGTATAGTAAATCTGAAAACCCTACCATCTGCCCTGCCCTAATATTGAAAGGTAGCAACTCTCCTAGTGCTGACGTTGCATGCACCATTCATGAAAATGTGTTTATATATGTGTGTGTTTTCAGGTAATATTGTCTAAAGTGGTAATGAAGAATCTGGTTTAGGGTCAAATGGGCTTATATCAAGAGAAACTCCAATGCTCATTGTTTAAAAGGTCTTTGATGAAAAGAGGATTGTTTTTTCAGAAATATTCAGTTCATCCTACAAAAGCATCCAACATTCTGATCAAAAGCTGAGTGAGTTGCTTGATGTCTCACATTCTTCCTTTTTTCTTTTACAGATAAAGAATTCATCTACAGAGAACAGAAAGGAACTGTGATGTTGCAGAATGTTGAGACAAATAATTCTACTGTATTAATAGAAAGCAAAAAAATTGTAAGTACTTTCTTTAATGACCGGAATAATTTTAGTTTTTCCTCCTTCAGGTCAATAAAGCAGAAAATGACTTCAGATTTCAACTCTCTCTATAACTAGGCAGGAGCAATAAACTTGTAATACCACAGGCTAAGCCACTGAGGAGAATGTGAAATTGAACCTCCTCTAATTTAATAAGTGAAATCTCACTTTCTTTCATTGTACAGAAAATTCTCTGCAGGTATTGGAAACAAGTGTTGCATATCATATATAATTGAAAGATAAAGTCCTATGGCTTTTACACATTTACAGAACAATTGCAGTAATGCATATGTAATACTCCAAGAGATCTTACCCAGTTTCTTTCAGAAAATTCATCTCTACATGTACAGCATGGTAGATATTAACTGAGTTCAAATCTAGTTATTCTAATGATGGTAATCAAACAGGTCTTAATTCAGTAAAAGAATCACATCTTGGAAATCTGGAAAAGTTCAATCTTTTCTAAAACTTTGAAATATTGTATTAAATCTTTTTTAACATAAAGTCATGATTTGTTATTTAAATGATGGCTTATAACTTCCTAAGCAATTAAAAGGAAAGTTCCCTTTCCTTTTTTATGTGTTCAATGGGATAAGAATTAAGCCCCTGGGGTTTATTTTATTTTTAAAAGAAAAGACCATTTGGTTGACAAATTATCTGGGGAAAGAGTACAAAGTAGACCAACAGTGAAATATAATACTTTTCTATACAAAATCAAATAATCTAAGTCAGACCAGAACCAAAAGTTCTGAATTGGAACTAGTACCATTTTGAAATTGACATGGGTCAGAAATGTAGAATTTTGGAATTTTCAACTTGGAAAAGGCCAGAGAGGTCATCTAGGTCAGCCTTCTCATTTTACAGGTGAATAAATGCAGGTGCAGGAAGATTAGATGATTTACTTTTGACTACCTGACATCTCTATGCCTTGTAAAAATTAGGACTAGAACCCAGGTCTCCTGATTCCCGGTCCCATTCTTTTTTCAGTACAACACACACTCCAGTGAGTACAAAGGATAATTTTATTTCCATGCAATTTAATTCACTGGTTCTTCTAGGAAATTGGGATTTTACTTCTCTTGCCTTAAAGAAATTGCTTAATTTTCCTTTAAATTTAATTTTCTTTTGTAGCAAAGTAAATTCACTTAGCATTCATTTATCAAAAAATATAATTTTCTTTTAAGAGACAGATTAGACTTAGGGATAGAACTTAGTCTTCCTTGTAGAAAGGCTACTTCCTGGTTATGAGTAAGACATGCTAACTCTTTTATGTTTTGCAATGTTTTATTTAGTGCAATAGTCTTAGTTTACTAAATGAGGCCCTATAAGAATGAATGCATATCTGTTTCTGCATTAAAAAAAAAAAAACACAAAACACTTAAGGCAGAACCTGGAAGAAACTAATTCAACACATTTCCAGATATCCCAGGTGCAGAAAAGGTTTTCTAATATTAATTGAAAGGCAGAAACGAACAGAAACTGTTGCCAAGGGTGACTAGATTTTAACATCAGAATGTTATCAATATTTCCTGGCAAGGTGTCAGGTTAGTAAAAGCAGGTTGCTGTACATACAACTACACTTAGTAATGAAATACTGGAATATGAACTGCCTTCTCTTTCTAAGATCAATAGCCCATGACAGATCATGTATTTTATCTGAAGTCGTTTCAACCAAGTAATAGGGCAACTTCACACACCATCTTTGGTAAAGAAAAGAGATTCTTATTTCCCTAAATGATTCACACATTCCATATCATGTAAGTTTTTCCTCCTTTTTAAGGCACCTTGTTAATAATGATCCTTCTGGTGCTTATTTTAATTTTGTCCCTGGCATACATTCAAATGGCTTAATTAGTGGCCTCCGTGATAAGGAAGGAGAGAACTTGTAGTTTATGACTTGAATAATTGTCTAGAATATCTCAAAATCCTTGATTTCGAGTCTATGTGTGCTGTTAGTCTCTTGAGCTGAAGTCATTTAACCTTCATGGGCCTCAGAGGAAGTCTCCTCCTCACCCCCAGCATGTTGGATGCACTCCCTCTGGTGAACTTATTGGAGGATAGAGACAAGAGTCATGCAGGATGAGAGAGTGTGGATGACTTGTGATTTGCACAACTGAAGGAAGGATCCACATGGGTGAGAGATAACAAATGATCAGTAGGAGTTGTCAAAGTATGTCCCAAGCTACCCCACATATATTACTTGCCACTTGATGAATTAAAGGGGAACTATGAGCTCCCTCAAATGAATATCTCTGCATTTTTTGTGATATTTACAGTTTGCAAAAAGAAAAGTGCTGGTATTCATTACAGACATTTAAGTGTCTACACCCACAAGACACAAACGAAAAAATGAAACAGCCCCTTCCCTCAAAGAGCCTCCATTCTTTTGGGGTGAACACAGATAAGTGAAAACTTCATATATACATATACATTCATACATATATATGTGTATGTACACATAGTAATTTAGTAATTTATTGAGGGATGGCACTAAATAGATTGATCAGTCTATTGTTATATGATGATCAAAATTTGGGAACTCTCATAGTTGGGAGTAGAGGTGGGGTGTAATTCAGTTATCCCCATTTCATGAATGGTATCAGAACTTTTGCATTATGACCTTGGCATAAGTTTTGGGTTCTTGGTCAAAATTTCTCTTCTTTTGAAATGTAGAGCCCTTTGGGGTTGTTGAAGACATGGCTGAGGGAGACTTCCCATCAGTGCCTCTTACCTAAGAAATAGTAATATTAGTGGTTGTGGTGATGGTGGTGGTGGTGGTGGTAGCAACTCACATTTATATAATATTTAAAGGTTTACTAAGTACTTTCCTTGAAACATCTCTGTGAGGTAGGTTGCAGAAATTTTTGATAGCTGAAAGTTCTGAAGCTGAGAGAAGTCAACAGTTAGTATGAGTAAGAACCTACATTTGAGCCCAGGGCTTCTGATTCCATGTCCAAGACTCTTTCATTATACTCTACTGCCTTTTCAAATTGACCATACAAAAATGTTATACATTTTATTAAGCTAGGTCAATACTATAACATGAAAATGATTTGAAAGTAGAAATGATATTTTTTTCTTAAGGACACACTTTAAAACTAAATCACTCTGGCTCTCATTGATAGGCCAATAGTAGGTCCCAGGCCAAGCCCCTTGGTCATTGACTGGGCCCTGATTTTCTCAGAGTGAATGTAAATAGCAATTGTTTCTGTTTTGGTCAGAAACCCTAAGGGTCTTCCCCCATCCCCACTGATTTTTTTTAACTAAGTAAAGAGGCTATTCTCTGCCTCATTTCTTACCTAGCCTTAATCACTGAATGGATGCTGCCTCCATCAAACTGAGACAGGTTAGAGACTGTAGCTTAAAAAGACCAAGGTCTCCCACTGCATCCAGGGCTATCTCCAGTCATCCTGATCTGATCTATCTATTGCCACTGGACCCAGATGGCTCCAGAGGAAAAAGTGAGGCTGGTGATTTTGCATAGCCCTCCCTCACTAAAATCCAATTCATTTGCATGTCATGGCATAACCCTCCTGATGTCATGGTCATCTTTGAGAACAAAGGACACACAACAACAATAACCAGTTGTGTGATTCCAGGCAAGTCATTTAACCTCTCTCACTATTTCCTCATCTACAAAATGAGGATAATAATAACACCTAAGACATAGGATTGTTGTGAATATGTAAAGTGCATTACATACCTTAAAATACTACATGAATGCCAGTCATCAAAGCCTTTCCAGTTTTGTGGGAACTGCTAGACTTTGTACTCTAGTGGTATAACCTTCAAGAACTCAGGGCCATTTCCACACCATGATGAGGAAAGAGTAGAAGAGAGTTTTGTGGTCATTATACATTAACAGGTCAGTGATCTCATCAATGTAGATCCTCCCTTCAATGGCAAACTCACTATCCAGCCACACCTTCTTATTCTGTGGGATTCTTGGTCATCTTTCTTAAATTCTCTAGAAGAACTATCTGTTGTGCTGTTGGTTTGACTCTAGGTCTTTAAAATGTTCTGTGGGTACTAAGGTAGTATGTGTGGCCCTTCATCTGTTATCTTTTGCTCTCACTGTATTACTACTCTACCTTCTATTTTATATAATATTTTTGATAACCAGAGAGATATTGTGGCATATTGCATACAAGGTCAGCCTTGGGATCAGGAAGACCAGAGTTGAATTCCTGCCTCTGACTCATATTAAATGTTTGACCTCTCAAGAAAGCCACTTACCCTTTTAAGGGGCCAGGCAATCCTGTAGGGTTGTAAGCTACAGATGAGCTGTTGAAGCTACATTAGTCAAGAGAATTTCCTCACTGAGAGCTCTCCTACACTTGTGAAACCACAAGTCTGTCCCCACTCTAGCTCTAAATGAAAACAACTTCAGTATCACTTGAGCTCCATCATCATTGGAAACATGCAGCTCATCGTAAATATCCCAATTGGACCCAAAGACATCAAGATACAGAAAATGCTCCGTTTTTATCTGGGCTAAACCAATAATTTCACCATCCTCCATGATCTCCTACCAGTATGAAGAGACAATTAGATCAACTTGTATGTCAATATGGATCCTAGGCCATACCCACAGTAAAGCCCTTTAAAATAAAGAGACTGATATAATGCAAATAAAATACTTGTGCTAAATCTGTGTGTGTCCTTTTCCCTTGAATCTCCCCACCGCTAAAATGTTTTGATTCACAGGTTTAATTCATTGTCCCTTTTTTAGAAAAGCCCTTAAGGCAGAGCCATGCAGAAATACACAGAGTCCTCTGAGCACAATACTTGGAATCAGGAAATGAAAACCTTGGATTTCTTTATTTCTTCTCCAGTAACTGGCACTATTGCACTGGGCAAGTCGCTTCACTTCCCTAGGCCTCAGCTTCTTCTAAAGCAAATGAAAGAGTTAGAAAGTACCTACTATGAGTCAAGCGCTATGCTAAATGCGTTGGCTATGAAGACAAAGACAATAGTAT